AGAACCACCGATAAATCACAAGAACTGTGTGGACACGTCATCCGACAGATGGCAGCGGGTGCTGAGGAACGAGAACAATATGCTTAAGAGGCAAGGGGATTTCACATACAGCAGATGCATCCAGACAAAAGACAAAGCTCTCATTTGGTGGCATCTCTTGATTAAAAATAAATAAACGAGGAGTCGGTGTTTTAGAGGTCACTGACGTTAAAGGAAAGACTTCCAGTGACGAAAAGAATGCAGCAGCCTGGTGCACCCAGCTTTTCCAGCATCTGTAGCACCAATATTTAAGCAGAAGTGTTCCAAAATCAGAGCTGCTTTCCCAGCATCTGGGGTGGCTGTTATGCTTGCTGGCACTCCTGCCCCTGTGCCAATCAGGCTGATCTTGTTAGTCTGTTTGGAATATTAGCAAGCATCCTGGATTTGTCAGGGTACCCATGTAGTTTATGAGTGTAAGGAAAAGTGCCTGCCACAAAGACTGTGACACATGGGGTGCGTTCAGACGGGAGCTTTCTGCCGGCAGAAACTGCACCGATTGGAACCGGTGCAGTTTATGCCGGCAGAAACGCGATCAGACTCACCCTCCTTCTTCCGTATCCCTCCGTTGGACGCCCGCTCACACGCTGCGGGCGTCGGCGTTTGTTGTTTTTTTTAAAAGCAGTTTGAGCATGCGAATAGCCAGCCATTCAGAGAATGGCGATTTGTGCGCATGCTCACACCCCCCCAGTAGATTTAAACTTTAAAGGTAAGGACTTACCTTTAAAGTTTAAAGAGCACAGTAGCCTCCCGGAGGTCCCCGACGCCTCCGAAATGCTGCAGTAAGGGCTTTTTTTAAAAAAACAAACGCTTAGGGCGAAGCTTCGCCCAAGCGCATACCGCTAGGAGTCTTTTTTAAAATGGCGGGGGAAAGCCGGAAGCCTCAGGCTTCCGACGGAAGTGGCTAGGCACCGGTGGAGAGTGATCAGACGCCGGTTTGCATCGGAAGCCACCGTTGCACTGAGTTTACCACCACTAGGGACCTAGTGGCAGAGTGCAACGGTGTACAGCTCTTTATAACGGATAGAGTGGGAAGACAGATGTTCCCCGTCTGAACGCCGGTAGGTACATCGATTTCAACTGGCACAGAATCCGTTGTAAAGGCCACAAAGACACGCACCCATGGTGGTGGCAGAGGCATGTTAGAAGCAGCAGGATTGGGAGGGGGTGATCTCAAGCAAAAAAGCATCATATGGGAAGAAGCGCCGAATCCTTCCCTCGTCCACCTTTTCCTCTTTCCTCATGGCTGCTTTTCTTATATTCAGACAGCGCCTCAGGGGAGGAAAAGTTGTTGGGGAAAGAGGTTACTGAAGAAAAGCAAAACTTCAACACGATCAGCACCTCAGCTACTCTTCCACATAAAAATCCCACCCATCTGTACTTCACAGGTGGCTGGTAGAGACCAGAGCTCATGGACATGAGTTTGCTGCAATCACACGGACTTCTGTCCATACTTATCAGGCTCCTTCACACCACACCTTCTTTTGTATATATGAGCCCATTTTGAGAAGTATGTTCACACTGACCAGTACAATATATGAATCAGGAACTCTCAGACAACAGCAATTTCCATTTACTTAGAATACTCGTAGGCTACCCTTTCCACTTCCACAAGAAGAAGAATAGGTGTTTATATCCTGCTTTTCTCTACCTTAAGGAGTGACTTGCAATTGCATTATTTCCCCTCCCCTCAACAGACACATTGTGAGGTAGGTGGGGCTCAGAGAGTTCTGAGAGAGAACTGTGACTGGCCCAAAGTCACCCAACAGGCTTCATGTGGAGGAGTGCGGAATCAAACCCGGTTCTCCAGATTAGAGTCTGCTGCTCTTAACCACTACACCATGCTGGTTCTCACAGGACCCTGAGACAGCTAATGATTCAAAACTGAAAATACAGAGACATCAAAAATAACCAATTAAAGTCCATAAAATAGTAACCAATCTCAAAATTTGCTAAATAATACAAAAGAAAAAATGCAGGGGCTGCTGTCCCTTCATTTAATTCAATTCAAAGTCCTTCTGGAATAAGTAGAAATGTGTTCAGTTGACTCCAGAAGGCCTGTAGTGATGTTACTAATCCCTTCAGGGACGGAGCTCCATGGTTTTGGGGGCAGCAACCAAAAGGGGTCCTACTATGGCCTCCAGACTTTTTTTGCCTCAGATAAGGCAGGAACCTTTCAGCCCTTGACCTCAAAATTTGGGCAGGCTGCTAAGAGGGAGGCAGTTCTTCAGGTACTAGGTTAGACCCAAGCTATCTGGGGCTTTAAAGGTCAAAACCAAAACCTAGAAATGAGCACTGAACACACAGGAAGCCAGTGTAATTTCAGCAGCGCTGGTCTCATATGCTCATTTTGATAAGTCCTAGCAGGGGTTGTTTCGTAGAAAAAGAGCTACGGGAACTCATTAGCATAACTCATT